TTTTAATATTGAAAATTATGTAGGGGCAATCTATGTATAGCTGTATCATCCCTTTATTCTTGTTTGCATTCTTTTTGGCACTGCCATCCCTACATCATTTTACATTTACAAAATGTTTTTTATTACTTGTTTGAATAGAAATGATCAACAAAAATATGGATAGTACAAGTGCCCAGGGAGAATATAACATTTCTGTTTTGTTTGTATAATATTATGTTTTCTCAGTCTGGAACAGATCTAGAGATTTCTACAGAACTTCATACAGAAATTACAAGTTTTGAGAGCCTTCTCCAGCAAAGGCTCTGTCTTCCATCTAATAAACAAACATATTTGATAACTTTAATGAAAAAATTATTGTTTCATCATATTTTTTTACATTGTATCTAGTTTCTTTCTTTTACAAGATCATTCAAGTACAAAGAATTCAGAATTATTTTGCAATGTATTTCCTGATCAAATATCCTGTTATTCTGTGGAAACTATTTTTTTCACTCTTATGTTGTGAATATCACAATAAGTTATAGTCAGGAATTTAACAGGGATGGGATTCATAAAAATGTAACAGTCAAGCCAAAGGGGTTTCTTTTTTCTCTCTCTATCTCTCATTAAAAGTTGTAATCTTCAATTATTCATGAAACAAAAAATAGCACATTACATTAAATGTATATCATTTCAGTATAAAGATATGATAGTAAACATTTGTATATTCCTGGTATGCTTTCATAAAAAATAAATAAAAATCATGATAAATATGAATTCTATGTCCTTTAATATTTTCAAGAACTCTGCCTTTCTGTTGTAGCTCCACTAAAGCTCATTTTCTACTTTATTCTTTACATCAAATCTAAATTGGTGAAATCTAGTTATATGCTTAACACAATTTTTTTATTGTTGATACTGTGTAAAATCATGTATTTTCACACATTCAACAGGTTAACAAATCTACATGTTATATGATAACAGTTTGTAATGTTAACAGTATAACAAGTTCTGCATCTGGAATATTATTCTAACAGTTAACACTCTGTATCTTGATTCCCATGGCAAAAATGCAATTTTAAATCAAACAAGTTAAACATGTTAAAAGCACTACCATGTTAATAGTTAATTAAATTTAATTATGTTGAAATGACTTTGTAAATGTAAATCAGCAGAGATGAGAAAATTAAGAGGAATACAAGTATTATGCCTGGTTTATTGTACACACGTTTGTAAGGTATTTTATTAAATAGAATTATTACCCACCCAAGACCTTTGATAGAAAATAAAGAGAGAAGTCATGACTTAAGTTGTTTTGTTTAGGTACCCAACTTCCCACTGATAGAGAAAATGGATGTTACTAATTTTGTAGCTCTACTACAAACCATCACCTCATACAAAAATGTGAAACTAACAAATAACAATGATTGCATTTAAACCAAACATAAATGTCAACACTTCAATCACACTGGCTACAGAGGTACAAATATTAATTTACTGAATCTAATTCCCGCTTGTTTTAAAACATCACAAAAGGTTAGTGTAAGTAAAAAATGTAAATGATAACAACTAGTACATTAGTATCCACAAAAACCAATGCAAAAGCGTTAAAAACATAAATTTTTGTTTTGAAAAAACAAATTAGCCAAAACATAATATTATGTCTAGAATACAAAGAAAAAAGGTTCTAAATATCAAAATGAGAACAGATCACCAAATTATTGACTACTGATGGGAATTTATGTTGTAGAAAAAGATGGGGCTCAATGTCATTTTACACTATGCATAAAAAACATCACTAACCCAGGGTTAAGGAGCAAGTCTACATTTATCAGATTGGTTTTACTTGCCATCACAATAACACCCTGCTTTCCATGAATTCATTTACATACAACTTTCAGACTTTCAATAATTTTTGTCTGTTGTATCCCCAAAGTACTGAATCTTAAATCCAGTGTTAGGAATCAGTTCCTCAAGTCATGATTGATCATTGGTTTTTCAAAAGCAATCAGTGATCAATTATTAATTGTTTTTTATGATATGGATATTATTTTTATAAATCATGAATAATATAAGTACCCTTTGTATGTATGTTAGGATGAACTATTGTGTGATTATGTTAATGTATGTTCTTTAAATTAGAAGTAAAAAAACATTAAACCAGTTTTTTTTATCTATTTGGAATTAACCTGAGACAGTAAAATATTTATCATAAACAAATTCAATACTCTAAATTTCTCAGTTTTAATCGACTAGTGACTGGAACATACATGCATTCACAAAAACTTTAGACATTTTAAATTAATTAGAATACTCAAAAACTTATCTTTTAGGCATTTCACTTTCAATTAACTATCAGTTGTTAGTCTTCTTCACAGTTGACATAAAAGAGTTCTTCAAAAATAAAAGTCAACATTTTCTGGTTTCAACTGTGATCCTTTTATCAAAACAAAGCCAGACTAAAGATTCTCTCAGATGAAACACTTGAAGCACGGATGAATAGATATTCTTTGCAACAATGGCTATTCTTAAAAAGGTGTTTTCATTGTCTTTCCACAAGATTGACAGATCAACCTGAACTAGGTCAAGTGTAAGGTACCCATCTACTTCATAACATGATATTTCACAAATAATATAGTACCAGGAACAGTTTTATGATTTTAGTTTTTTTATCTCTTGAATAAGGTGAATACAGCGATTCATCCATAAGTAAAGTTGGAAGAACATTATCTGTGGATGAATTGAAGGGTTCATCTGATTCCTTTTTTTCACTGAAGCATTAGAAGTAATTCCACATACTTCACTGTACAGTAAACAGTCAGCTTTCTCCTGTACATCCTTTGAAATAAATTGTAGACAATTTATAAAAGGACACAAGTGACAAAGTAGCAAGACCACATCCCTGTCTTGCATTCTATGGTTCATTAGCTTTCTAAACTCAGATTTCACCTTCACAATGACAGGCTTGCCATCTTCATTCGTTTAAATTACCCTTTCTTGTTTAAGTATACATGGAATGACCAGTTGTGTGTCAGTTCTTTCTCTGCAGACAACAATTCAGTAACCATCTCACAAGGGTCTCTCACATTTATCAAGGACTCTACAACACCCAGCTTTTCATAAGTGAACAGTTTAATTCATACTTCCCACCCTCTTTTTCCAAAAATACAATCAGTTACGGTAACATGTAAAGCTTAAGTTTACTCAGAAAACAGTTTCAGCATGTTCAAAATACTGTTCCACCAACTGGGAATACCTTTTATCAGCCTGTGGTCATACAATGCTTCAGGAAGAAGAAGTTTCATGTCTAAGCAGAAACTTAAGACATGAGGATTTCAGTGACAAAAAGGCCCTTGTGGAAACAAGTCACAACAGTTCTTCCCTTGCCTACCAACCTTGCTACTTCTGTAATGATGACAGAATTCATCACTACTAAGTTTAAACAATGCCTGTAGCAACTAACACATGTCCAATTCAATACGGTACATTCTTTCTGCACATACTGGCTGAACCGTCAGTACAATATGTTCACCTATATTCCATTTCTCAGCAGCTGTCTGCAACATTTTCTCCTGCCTGGAAGCCTGGAAACAGTTCTGTTATCAAAACTACTGTTTTTAATTCCAATTCTGGAGAAATATACTAACGTTTAATGTATCATAGCTTTGTATTTAATGATGTCTATGCATTGTGTGCAATTGCTGCATTATTAGTTTTTGACAGGTCATCTTGAAGAAATGACTTCACTTCTTTGTATTTCTATGATTTGATTTAAAATTCCTTTCTTTCCAGGAGGACTATAGTGTTTGTCAAGCTCATCAACAAACTTCTTAAAGGATTCATGCTTCATGATATTCAATGGAAGCATAGCATCAATATTGAATTTGACTAAAACATCATCTATTTTCTTTCTCTTGGAATCAGTGAAAAACTGGATGGTTTGAGACTGATACATGACATTAACAGCAGCAGAAATCTTCATTTGCAACTTTGAAGAAACCCCAGCTCTTTACACTCATGTTCTATGAAACATCAGACTTGTGGCATTTCCTGAAAAATTACACAAAATTTTCTTATATTTTACAGTTGTTAAAATTTATAATATATCCTATATTCAACACTTTTCTTAAATATTATATCTACATATAACCAATTCAATCAGATAGGATGCAACATAATCAGTAAAATAAAGAAATCATACAAGTAAACATATAACCAATTCAATCAGATAGGATGAAACATAATCAGTAAAATAAAGAAATCAAACAAGTAAACATATAACCAATTCAATCAGATAGGATGCAACATAATCAGTAAAATAAAGAAATCATACAAGTAAGCATATAACCAATTCAATCAGATAGGATGCAACATATTCAGTAAGATAAAGAAATCAAACAAGTAAACATATAACCAATTCAATCAGATAGGATGCAACATGTTCAGTAAAATAAAGAAATCAAACAAGTAAACATATAACCAATTCAATTAGATAGGATGCAACATGTTCAGTAAAATAAAGAAATCAAACATGTAAACATATAACCAATTCAATCAGATAGAATGCAACAAGTTCAGTAAAATAAAGAAATCAAACATGTAAACATATAACCAATTCAATCAGATAGGATGCAACATGTTCAGTAAAATAAAGAAATCAAACATGGAAGAAAGCTGTGCAGACAATATAACAAGAAAGAACATGAACAGAACATAGAAGTCTATCCAGATCCAACCAGGAATAGAGGTGTGAAATAGATGGAAGGGAAATTGAGAGAATTGAAGAATTCCCCTCATGAGCCACCAAAGATTTGTGCAGGAATGATTGATCCGGACAAAAGAGAACATATGTGGAATGGAAAAAGAGTACATGAAATACCAATGATAAAGATCTCAGACCAACAACATCAACAGGCAAAGATAAGAAAGAACTGTCTGAAGGGATAGGTGATACTTGGAACAGGAGGTCAAAGGCTCAAATGGAGGGTAAGAGAGTGGAGAATGATAGTGACATCCCAATCCAAAAGGACCACCCAATGGGGAGGTCGACTAATCCAGAAGGAATGCAGTAACAGGGAAATGGTAGGAGAGGGAAAAAATGGTACCTGAAAAAAACAGAAAGTATTGGATAAGGCTGCATGATAACCTGCAATGGAAAAAACAGAAGCAGCATGATGAAATCCACTAAGAGAGAGACAGTGAAGGAGAACAGCAAATAGAACGAGACAAAAAAGATGCTACACGCATGGATACACCGAATCTATTCACAAGTTTACTCCATGGGGAAAGCTTGATTGGATTTGAAAAGATGGTCTGCTACAATGTTAAAGGCACCTGGAACATGACATGCCATGAAATGTATATGAAGCGTGTGGGCCCAATAAAGGAATTCCAATGTTTGAGAACAAAGTGAACAAGAATGGATGCCCCCTCGGCAATTGATAAACGAGACTACAGTAGAGTTGTCAGAATGGATCATAACCAATTTGTTCAGAACAAAGGGCAAGAAAAGACTCAAAGCATGATGTACTGCCAGAAGCTCCAAAATCTTGATATGGAAGGACTATTTGGTGAAAGACCACTATCGGGAAGCCTCCTGATGGTGGACAGATGCAAATCTGAACAAGGAGGAGGAAGCAGCACCCCCATCATAGTGTTGTCTCTGTCCAACCACCAACAGAGATTGTCAAGGATAGAAGGAGGGAGAGTAATTGAGGAGTCCAAGGGATTCCAATCAAGATTCCACTGGTTGTACAACATGCATTGAAGAGAATGCATTTGTGCAGAACCTTGCATGCAGAAAGTGATGTAGAAGAGAGAATATGGAAGATCCATCAAATGTAGACAGCAGGAAGAAGGTTGGTCCTGTCTGAGATAGATGCTGAAAAACACCCAGTAGATAAGATATTAGGTAGGTATAAGGAAAAACTTTTCCACGTTGATAACCCCACCCACATGAGCTGATTCAGTTAAAAGTAGGCAAGAAAGGTGAGAAGATAAAGATTCAGAAAGAGCTAACAGAAGCCACCCATCCCATGTAGTGGTGGAAGCTCAGACCCTGAGAATGTACAAGTCAGGCAAAAACCTTGATCACCGAACAAAAGTAAGGTGCTGAGACATGTCTGATTTTGAGTATGACATAAAGTCTGGAGTAAAATCCCTGAGAAGGAAGACCAACAGCCTCTATGGCACACTGTCAGAGTAGAGTCTGAAACACCTCAGACAGACACTGACAAGTAGAAGGATCCCATAAAAAGGGAAGGACACAGGATCAGGAAGGTATGGAGGTGGGTAGTTGTTATTTGAAGTTAAACACAAAGCAACACAATGGACTATCTGTGCTCTGCCCACCATTGGTATCAAAACCCAGTTTCTAGCATTGTAAGTCCATAGACATACCACTGTGCCACTGGAAGGCAAGGTGAGGAGCTGGAAAACATTTCACCTGAGGGTACCTGGATCACTCAGGGAACAGGAGTGAATTCCTGCAACAGGTAGACAAAACCATACATACAAGCTTTAACTGAGCCAGCACCCACAAAATAGTCACCAGAACTGTTGGCAGCAATGGGTATGATGGTGAGCAAAATACCTCACCAAAAGATCTCAGGAGGGAACAAGCAAGGGTTAGAAGCTGGAATGGGAGCAGTTGGAGACAAATGAGCAACCAAAGAAGAGTGTTCAGTTTGTCGCTCAAATTCCACTCCAATGAGTCAGGGATATTTCCAAAAACAGGTCCATACAGAAAAGGGGCCCCATCTGCAGGACACTTAGATAAGTGGATGGCAGAGACACCTGAGACAAGAGAGCATCCCCACCCAAGAGAACCCAGCAGCAAAAAAGTAACGTGTGAAGGGATACGGCAGAGCAGGATAAATGCACCAACATGGAGGAAATTAGGGTAGAGGTATCCTCCAAAACCCCTCAGGGGAATGATTGATGTTCTCAGAAATGAGGTGGATGGATGAAAGGTACCAAAGGAGAGAAGTACAGGTGAAACAAAGGTAGGAAACTGGACCTGAGAGAAGGTCAAAGAACTCTCAGGATCAGCTTCCACACAGGCAGAAGAAACTCAAACTGCCGAGAGTCCAGAAAAAGAAAGTCAGTCTGATGGTAAGCCAAGTCATAATAATCTGAAGCCTAAGGAGTTAGGGCATAATGGACCCTGACCTCATTTGAGACAAGAAATGATCAGCATGAACCCTGATATCTGGAGAAGGGGGAAAAAACACAGTACTTGGGCAATGTGGTGGTGCATTACAGTGAAAGGGTGGGACATGAAACTGGGGATATAGATAAAAGGTAACATACCTGAGAATTCAAAACCAAGAAGGCTGATGGGGGTCTAGCTGATTCCTCAGGAGAGGCACAGGCTTGCACAGCAGTGGATGGTGGAAACAGGCTGTCAAAATCCTTGTCATCGTGAATGGGTTCCACTGGCACTGGAAGTGCCTGGACAGCATTGAGAGAAAAGGGATGGCCCATGTAAAGTTCAATCTCCCGACAAAGGAAAGTCAAGACATCCTCAGCTGAGACCCCATTCCTGAAGCTTGTGTCATGACATTTGAAGTAGTAGTTATAGTAGCAGAAATCACAACATGAAATTCTGAAGTTATATATATAAAGGTTTGAAACAATCTGTCAAACCAAAGAAAAAAAAAAGGCAAGTTAACTTGTTAATAAACTACAGTTAACAAAGAATTGTAGAAACTTGAAAGTACTACTTCAAAAAGGAAAGCAAGTATCACATAAATTCCAATGAAAATTTAAAACGTCCAAATTCAATGATTGTCTAACGAGAAGTGATTGTTAGACAAAATCGAATAAAGCAGTGTTTCCTAACCTTTTGTGGCCCTCACATCCCCTAAGGAAGCCCTCGCACCCCTCCCCTAAAAAGTGTGCATTAGACATTTCTTCTTGGCAACATTTGAGGGAAAATGGACCTTGTATAGGCCTCTTCCATGCACCCTCTGAACCCTCATTTCGTGCCCCCAGGGGGTGCCAACACCCCTGGTCAGGAACCCTTGGAATAGAGGAAGTAGCCTCCATCAGGAGTGTATGTTGCACTCCTATTGGTGAGGATTGTCACATGATAATTTACATGGGAAGATACAGTAAGCCACATTGATTATGGGATAGATGGGAGTTTCAAGGTTAGTGATCAGCAAAAAATTTTGCATATAGAGGGCAGCACTGAATGAGAAAAGCTATTATGTGAATGGAGGTAAGGTACTGTATCAAAAATATATCTTCTAAATTTAACAAATGAGAAAAATGCATGTTTGTTCAATACAATGTTCATTTGTAGACAGTAACTGTAAATGTGTCAGAACTTGAAAAAAATCTTTTCAAATTTGAACATTTAGCTCTGAACAGGCTGATGATTATCTCATTCTAAAAGTTACAATCTGAACTAATATAAGAATATTTCATTTAAATTTATTTTCAACTAAACAAATATACATATATGTATCCACAATACAGAAAATAATACCACCACAAATACGAAATTTAATAAGAAAAACAAGGTTTTTATCATGTGCTAACTGATCTGCTTAACAAATTATTTTCCTTGTATCAAAAAGTTAAAAAAAACAGTTGATGATATACGTTCTTGGAAAATATGAATTAGAAATTTTCTAATACATTTGTCATCAAGAATGGACAAATGTTTCAGCTCAAAAATAGACCATAATCTACCTCTTAAATGTCACTTTTTCCACTGACAATTGAAAAATAAACAAAAACAAAATTAATTATATTTACCAAGTAATTATTTTTCAATATGATAAGTAAGTTACTGACTATAATGCTTTCTTCAAAACCACTGACACAACAAAATTCTGAAACCATGAACTATCAATTCCCATAACATCATTGAGTAAATATGTTCATAGGAAAATTACAGAGCTATTTCTGTTTAGTTCCTGTTGAAATTCCTTCATCTTCTGCTGATGACTTTCTAACAAAGTCTTAGCTCTTTGAAACAGTTGTGACTCTCAAGTAAAAAAAAAAATCTAATGATTTTCATTCAACAAATACCTGAAAATCAAATAATATTACCAATATGAATAATCCCTGAAGATAACTTTTCATAAACTTGGTGATTCTACTTGGTAGATGTGACTTGTTATATTAAAGGTTAAAACCAAAGATTATTTTCTATATAACTATAAAAACTAAATTGTTTCACATCAGAGTCTACAGCTTCTTCCACAAACGTAAAACGTTTTTCTGGTCATGCAATGGAAAATCAAAAGTTGAAATAGCTGTTAAAACGTTTGCCATTATGTTATTCTTCAATGTTTGAAATAAGCTTTATAAAACAACTCATTGTTAATTTCTATTAAAAACTTTAATTCAGACTAGCCCTCTACCTATATGACCAATAAAGTAAATACTCAGTATTGTCATGAGCAATTTGTTTTCATTTAGAGTTAAGGTATGAGAATTTTATTAGCATGTAACCAGTGGTTAGAAACTACCAGATTTTTCTAAATACTACTTAAAGCCTAAAACATGATCCTCACAGTTTATGAAAAGTGAACAATAAAAACTATATATTTTGAGTTAAACAAATACTTTGGGAACATACCTAAAATATTGTAAATACAATTTGTTCAAAACGATTATTGATGGTTTTTCTTATAAATAAGTAGGAGTGTTTGGGCTTTAAATTTTCTTGTATAAAAATCAAAATAGAAAAACTATATATTCTTATTAAGACTTACATTGCTAGAGACCATAATGTTTATGAAAATAGGTCTCTCAATCAGTGTTACCTGTAAAACCAGTTTAAAACTCACATACAGTTTTTCAATGACCTGTTCAGTACTCTGTGTACTTAACCAATGCTTCTATTGTAAATGTATAACTTGAGCACTGTCTGTGGACACCACATGTAATTATATATATATAAATGGATGGATGTATATTATTTCACAATTCTTAAACTCTTAAAAAAGCTTTAAAAATTAAATATTATATGCACATTGTTTGTGCCATAAGGTGTCATAAAGAAATAAATGTTGTAACTGCTGTTACAAAAAAAGAAGCTTTATAAACAAAAATAACCACACACTGGATGCCATACAAAACATGTATAAGCACTAGAACAAAAACTTTAAAACTCAGATTTTGCTAATAGTATTACAACACAGAGATTCATAAAAAACGTTCACTAACTTTAAATTCTGTTTTGTTTACAATGGTAGATCTTTTTACAAATATTTATTTTACATTTTCTAAATTTAACTACATTCCACATCTGACATATGTGATAACATAAAACCATTTTTGACCAACCTAAATGATCTCATGGCCCAAATAATCTTTTTAATTTTTAAGTAATTTCAGATTATTTTTCATCCTATTGTTGTCTATTATTCAGCAGGGATTTTGAGCTCATCTATAGAAACAACCAGCCCACATCCTTATACATTTAGGATTATGTTTGCATTCTTTTAGATATGCTGAAAGTCTATCTAGCTTCACCACAGCAGTACAATTAAAGGTGAAGTTGTCATACATGATAAGGAGTCAAAACAGTAGGTTTGAAGAAGTATAAGTAAAAGCTGCAATGATGTTGTAGGGGTTCAGTCAAATGGACACGTCTCTGTTGGTGGGTTCAGTCAAATGGACATGTCTCTGTTGGTTGGTTCAGTCAAATGGTCACGTCTCTGTTGGTTGGTTCAGTCAAATGGACACATCTCTGTTGGTGGGTTCAGTCAAATGGACACATCACTCTTGGTGGGTTCAGTCAAATGGACACGTCTCTGTTGGTGAGTTCAGTCAAATGGACACATTTCTGTTGGTGGGTTCAGTCAAATGGACACATCTCTGTTGCTGGGTTCAGTCAAATGGACACATCTCTGTTAGTGAGTTCAGTCAAATGGACACGTCTCTGTTGGTGGGTTCAGTCAAATGGACACATCTCTGTTGGTGGGTTCAGTCAAATGGACACATCTCTGTTGGTGGGTTCAGTCTAATGGACACATCTCTGTTGGTGGGTTCAGCCAAATGGACACGTCTCTGTTGGTGGGTTCAGTCAAATGGACATGCCTCTGTTGGTGGATTCAGTCAAATGGACATCGTCTCTGTTGGTGGATTCAGTCAAATGGACACGTCTCTGTTGGTGGGTTCAGTCAAATGGACACATCTCTGTTGGTGGGTTCAGTCAAATGGACACGTCTCTGTTGGTGGATTCAGTCAAATGGACACATCTCTGTTGGTGGGTTCAGTCAAATGGGCACGTCTCTGTTGGTGGGTTCAGTCAAATGGACACGCCTCTGTTGGTGGATTCAGTCAAATGGACACGTCTCTGTTGGTGGATTCAGTCAAATAGACACATCTCTGTTGGGGGTTCAGTCAAATGGACATGCCTCTGTTGGTGGATTCAGTCAAATGGACACGTCTCTGTTGGTGGGTTCAGTCTAATGGACACGTCTCTATTGGTGGGTTCAGTCAAATGGGCACGTCTCTGTTGGTGGATTCAGTCAAATGGACACGTCTCTGTTGGTGGGTTCAGTCTAATGGACACGTCTCTGTTGGTGGGTTCAGT